AATAAGTGGACAGCTGCACGAGGACTTGAGCTTGTACCAGTTTACCTTAAAGGAGTTGCTCTTGATTGGTACCGAAGTCTTAACCCTGCATCCAATGCTTTTAATAATCCTGGTAATGCTGGCCAAAGTTTCAAGTATCTTTTTCGAACTCGCTTCCACACTATCAAGCAGAAAGCTCTTTAGCAAAAACAATTTTTCGAGATTAAACAAGAAACAGACACTGTAGATGCCTATATTAGCCATTTTAGAACATTAAAAAAAAGAGTTGATCCCACAAATACTTTCCCAGTAGGATTTACTAAACAGCTTTTTATCCAAGGATTGCGCCCTGAGCTTGCTATCAATGTTCAAGCCAGTGAGCCTGCTGATGAAGGTACTGCCATGGTTACCACTAAACGATGGGAAACAGGACATATTATGGCTAATCAATTAGCATTAGAAACAGACCAAGCTATTAGACAATTGACAGACCAGATTGCTAAGCTTAGTATCAACTTAGCCTAACAACAGCAGCCACCCCAAGCCAAATCTACCAACTATGCTTCTACCTTTAGCACAAATACTTCTCAGAACCAAAAGTCTCGTCATTGTCATTATTGTGGACGAACTAGACATCTTATAGCTAAATGTAGAACCAGACAAGCAGAGCAAAAATCTAGAGATGATCGAAAAGATGATAGAAGAAATAATTATAGAAGAGATGATTACAGAAGAGATGAACGTAGAAGATCTTGTTCTCGTAGCCGTGATCGCTCTTATAGAAGTTTTTCACGAGACAGAAGAAATTCTAGAGAAAATTTTCGAGAAAGAAGCAGATATTTAGACTCTTATAATGATAATAGTAGGAGAACTGGCTTCCGCTCTCTCTCACCTTATTGTAGAGACATTAACTACCTTGGTCATGACAGTACTCCATCTTTAGCCTCTCCAGTTCCTTCTAATAACAAGTGGGAACACTTCCTTGACAACCCCTCTATCCGCATAGCTATGTCAGCCTATCTTTATGAAGAAGCTAAAAAGACTGACCTTCTCCCTACCTC